ACCAACCTTGCCTGGTAGAGTACAGGGGTTTAAATCGGCACAGAAATTTAAAGCAGGTCTTATTGGTACGTGGTACAAATTAGTTACAGATAGAGTTTGGCTTTTTCCCCATCTTCAACTGTCTTTGATTCAACTTGTACAAAATAACTGTTGTTCTATGAACTGTATACCACTCTGTGATTGCGAATTAATAATAATAGTAGTAGTAATAAAAAAGATAACATCATACATGCAAAACACCTGAAGGATGCCCGGCAGCTGGCACTCAACAATGCTCCTCCCTCCCCCACATTCCATCCTGCTCCACGGCTGACACACAGAGGAGTTGGACGCACTCTATTGCCTTGGATTACACTCAAGCCTTACTTGGCTTGGGAAAATGAATAATTGCGGAAATTTGCTTATTTTCAAACATACTAAGAGTTTCTTTTTAAGAACAACGGCTCACATTTGGCCGTTGTTATTATTATGTGCCAGGCGCAAATTGGCTCCCACGTATTATTACATTTCAGCCTCTCATAACCCTATGAGGTGGCCCTGATTTTCAGAGGAACGAAGTGAGAATGACTTGCCCAAGATCCCAGGGGTGGCCAAGAGCAGAGCCGGGACCTGAACCCGGCAAAGGCGGACCCAAGGATAGTTAATGGAGGCCTCTTTCACTTGTGCTGGGGCCTGGCACGGGTTTCATGTGACTCTTCTCCTGTTCCCATACCCCTTCCTTTGAGCTTGGGTTTTGTTGAGGTTGAGTTTGTATTTTATTTATTTTTTCATTTTCCCTAAAGTATTTTCTCTCTGGTTCTGGTAGGTAGGGGCTGGGGGCAATAGAAATGGGAGATGCAAAGGAAAAACAGGGAGAGTTATAAGTGACAAGTCTTAGGGCAGTACTGACCAAGATAGAGACCAGGTCCAATTAGGCTGGCAGCGTGCATTTTTGTCTTTCTGCATGTAGATTTAAGGCCCCACTGGTCATAAATAACTCTGGGTGGAAGGACAGACACTTACTGCAGAGATATCCTTAAGGATATTTTGTTTTCTGGGGAAACACACACACGCACACACACACACACACGCACACACACACACACACAACAATGTCAGATATCTGCTCTAGCTCAAAGTAATTTCCTTTTCTATTAAGACCATGGATCAAAGTTGGACAATCCCCAGCAAACAGGAACTTATGCTTTGGCTTCCTATTTGCAAAACAGCAAGCATTTGACACTCAACCTTCCGGAAGATTAAAATAAAAAGAATTGATAAACTAGAGAGAACGTCTAAAGTGTAAGACTGGAAGGAAAGTGAATATATATGTAAAATATATATAAGCATATAATAATTTCTACTTTTATTTATCTATTTAACATTTTCCAGTACATGATTAAGCAGATGGCAACATTTACATCAAGATAAATATTGTTCAGTGATGCATATTTCTGTATACAAAGTGTAATGCACTGCTCAGGCAAAATAAAACTCCATTGAGAGTGTGAGAAAAACAAACCATCAATAAAATACCCTCTGTTCTCTCTGGTCTCAAAACATTTGGATAGAAAGAAAAGCTACGCCTCTGAGGTTGTTAGAACCAGAGGCGATCTGGATACAGTGAACCAATTTTTCAAAGTCACTGCCAATGTCTGAAAAAGTCCTGAGTTATCTGAGTAATGTGAAGTATGAGGAATTTCTGCCGAAAAATCAACATTTCAAAGGAGTCAGACAATACAGAAAGTCCATTCTACTTTAAGAGTGTGTGTGTGTGTGTGTGCACAATAAAAAATTAGGTTTCTTAAATGAAACTTACTGGGTAATAGTTTATCTAAGGGCACAAGCAATAAATGTGAGGACCTCAGAGGATCACTGGGGGCAAAGGGAAAGAAAATAAACATTCGTCACATTAACATACAGTTCTCTTTCATTCTCCCCAAAATTGATTCAGAACCTGTAGTGTGATCTTTTTGACACTCTCCTCAATGTTTTCCCTCCCTTCATAAGTGAGCCCATCTGTTTCTTACATTCTGAGATGACAATAAAATCCACAGCTTACTGGAGACCCAATGAAGGGATGAGTATCACGGCCGCAAAACTCAGCTGCCATCCACCCAATAATTCTAATATGTAAGAGCTTTGACAGGGGTGGAGAGGAAAAGGGGAGCTTGCAGATCTTTTAGGGATATGCCCGGCTCGCCGCCACCTGCACTCTCTCTGGCTCTGTCTGCTTGAGAAACTGGGTGTTTCTTTTTGACTTCTTAAAATGCACCAAAATTACAATCAGGTCCTTCCATTGGGGTGCAGCTCCCCAAACATAAAAGGTACAACCTCTGGGAGGGTGAACACAAGGAAGCAGCAAGGTCTGGTTGAGAAAATGCTCTGTCCACAGCGCCTGCCTGACACTCCTTGGGACACACCCACTGCCACTACCACCAGAGCCACAGAGTCCCTCTACATCCCAAAACCACAACTGTCCTCCCCACCTGCATCCTCTGCAGAGCACAGAGACAAAGCATCATCTCCCAAGCACGTGCCTCACCATCTCTTTATGAGAGTCATCTGGAAAATCACAGGGAATTTTTTTTATGTCCCACTCCTGAGTCTCCCTCCAAAGCATCACACACCGGCAGCCTCGGCAGGGTTTGCAAACAAACCATATGTTCTGAGGGCCTCAGTGGCCTGCCGAAAGGCCTGGTCCTCTCCTCCCAGCCTGCAACCTAAGCTCAGACAACGCCGGACTTTGGGAACAGCCTGCCCCCTTCTGGTCTCCTTGAGCTCCGTGGAAGGGCAGGGCTTGGGTGGGCACAGCTAGAGAAGGAGAGACCCCCAGCTCCATCCGGCAGGTCTGTGCTGTGATTTCAGGATCTAGCAGGGCACTGGGGTAGACGTCGGGGAAAGGAAGAGAGAGGACACAAACAGATAAAATAAAGTACAAATCCAGGAGAGACAGCAGTGAACAACCGCATGGTAGACAACCACAAAGATGGGAGAAGGGCAGAAAAAACAAAATACAGGTATGTCTATATCGGAAGAAATTGAGACACTGGGAGATGTGTGTAGGGGGATAGTCACTGAACTTACAGGTGAAAGCAGAGTTTCAGAAAAGCAAAGCAACTCTGCTGCTGGAACTGGTGTTCCAAAAGGAATAAAAAAGGAAACGTGGCACGCTCCCACTTACCTTCCCAATTGCAAACCTCAGTGCAGCCGAGCTGGGGGATGAGAGAGTAAGACACAGAACTGAATGCACAAAGAGCAGGTGTGGACATAGGACCCAAAATGTCAGGGACCCAGGAAGAAATCAACCAGGCCTCCTTCCTTCCCTCCGCTTGTTTCAACAGGTGGTATTTGCCTGGAAAGGCACCTCCTGATGCCTGTCTGGACCCCCGGAGGCAAAGGGTACAGTAAGCCCTATGCCTCCCACGTGTTCCCCAGGCTAGTGGTGCATGTCCTGACCCCCTCCCACCCCACCTCCCCGCAGGCCTCCGAATCTAGAAAGAACTTCTAATTGCGTTTCTGCCCGGACACAACACTATCCACTCCTGGAGTTCAAAGGCAGTGTCTGAGAGTACTCTTTGCTATAAATAAGAGGCATTCGGAATGTTCTGGTTCTCCATCAGGAATCTCACTCCACTCTCCTCCCCACAAATGGGGAAAAGATGTCTCTCCCTGCTACCCACACAGACCAGCCAGCAACGTGAAATGCCATCGCATCACGTCTTGGGCTGGCTCAGCCCACAGGTACAAAGAGCAGCGCTGTGGCAAAGAGGGTCGCCTTGACTCCAAAGAAGTTTAGCAGATCAAAGAGCATCACGCTATGTCCGAAGGCAGCCTTCAGTGAAGCTTCCCAAAGTGACAAACGACAGAGACATGCATTCAACACCTGAGAGCCTGAAACTAACCCCTGGTGTCTAATGTCCGCAAGGGCTGGGAGAAACTCTCTAGGCAATCGGAGTAATGAAGATACAGACAGACACACAGCACATCGTTATGCCTCAAGACAGACACGCCCACAGAGCACTGAGACCCTGGCCCAAAGCTGGGGACTCTGACCTCTCCTGTGTGGTCCTAGCTCAGTGGGCTAAACAAATCAGCCCAAAGAAGGTGTGAAAGTCACCCCTGGAGAAGTTGGGGGCAGGGTAGAAGACACCCTGATGGCCCCAGAAGATCTGCGGAAGGAACAGTTTCAGAGCCTGGTCTGTTCACACCCAAGGAGAGCAAAGTAAACCCACAGAAGCCTAAATCGAGATGATGTGATCTGACACACAGCTGGTGACAGGAATTAGCCACACACACAAGACAGAGAGCCAAACACAACCACCTAGGAGAAGGGGCCATGCCCTGACACTGGAGAGAGGGCACCCGGACAGCGCAAGGTTAGACACGGGCAGGGTGGAGACAAGAGTCTCAGACATCCAGGGATGGAAAACAGGAGACTCAAAGTAAGACCAGGCACCCAAGACTGAGTCTTGACTCCGGGGCAGGGCTGAGGACTTGGGACACCGATCCCAGACCCCCTCCCTCTCAGGCTAGGCAAAAACAACGAGGCAGCAAGCTGAGGACTGAGTTGCCTGCACCCAGCTGGGCAGAAACCAGAGATGCGGTGAGCACCACCGCCTAGAGTAGTAGCTGAGGATCCCGGCACGGTCCAGGCACTCAGACCGGGAGCGAGGCGCCAACACCCACATGCACAGCGCAAGTCGGGGCGCCCAGCGAGAGTGACGGGGTACAGGGGCCCAGCCAGGCTCCGGTAACCCCCAAAGCGCCTCCTCTGGAGATAACTTCCCCAGACCCCAAGGGGGCAGTCCTCAGACTCGGGATGGGGCAGCCCTCGGCCCCTGAGCCTGGGAAGGGACCGAACCCCGGCTTCCAGGGGAAAGAGATGTGGAGCCAGCAGGCTTGGGGAGTCCCGGTCTGATGAGCGGGGTTCAAGGGCTGGGGGGCGTGGGGTCGGGCCGCCTGCCCGCTTGCCTCCCTCCTTCCCTCCAGGACGCGAGCCGAAAAGGCATCTTACTTACCAGCGCCCGCGCGGCCAGTGCCCCTCGGCTGGCCGGCTGCTGCGCGCGGGGTGCTCCGGGGCCGCCTCCTCGCGCCCGCGCCGGCGGCCCCCGTCCTCCTCCGCCTCCGCCTCCGCCGCCTCCTCCTCGGGCTGCAGCCGGCTCGGCGGGCAGGTCCCGGCGCTCGCGGCGCGGGGCCGGGGGTGGCTGCTCCGCGCCACCGACCGCTGCACCCCCGCGGCGTTCCCCGGCCCCGGAGTCGAGGCTGCTGAAATTCCACACGACCAGCGTCTGCAGCAGCAGCACGGTGAGCGCCGCGAGCAGCGCCGAGTGCGAGCGCCGGGCCAGCCTCCGAGCGCACGGCGCCGCCACCATCTTCGGAGCGCGGCGACCGAGCGGGGCGCGGGGGACCCCGGGCGCTACGGGCCGCCCCCGCGCTCCCCGCGGCTTCCGCGGCCGCCGCCGCCGCCGCTCAGGCTCCCGCTCTGGCTGCCGCCGCCGTCGCCGCCTCGGCTCGCCGCCGCTCCTCCGCCGCCGCCGCCGCCGCCGCCGCCTTCACCGCCGCGGCGCGGAGTTTTCAGACGGGCAGGGACCCGGACGTCACCAGGAGGAGGGAAAGGCGGGGAGGCGGGGAGCTGGAGGCCGCGGAAGGGGGCGGCGGGCGCGCGCGCTCGGGCGGGGGGGCCTAGCCCGCGGGGCTCCCCCCGCCCCGCAGCCCCTTGCCTGGGCTGGGGGCGCCGGGGGTGGGGAAGAGGCTGCGGGCAAGCGGGCTGGGGTGGAGAGGGGTGGGGCCTGGGGGCGGAGCACGGGAGGAAAAAGGAGGAGGGAGAGGAAGGGGGTGGGGGCGAGCTGAAGGGGCCCACACCCCACCCCCAGGACCCGAGCCGGAGTGGGTGGGGGAAGGGGGACAGTTCCCGCGGCCGAGAAGACGAGGAGGGGTCAGAAAAGCAGGGGGAGCTTTGGGTGAGGGTCGGCCCGCTCAGAATCTAGGGGAGGTCGGGAAGCTCTGGGGGTCCTAAGATCCCCTTCCATGTGGGAAGCAAGCACGAGGCAGCTGAGTGGAGCGGGCTCCCCGCCCGGAGTTTGCGGTCCAGGTGTCTTCTATGAGCACAGAGACTGCTTGGCAGGTGGAGACGGGAGAAACGTGTCAGGAATGTGTCGGCCAGGGAAGGGGCTCACGCTGCGGATCCCTGGATCCCTGGCTTGAAGGGGCAGGGAGGAGGCTACAAATGAGTGTGAGTGACTTCTGAATCACACCCCACCCCCTAGTGCCAAAGATGTACTGTACTAAGTGCTTTATTGAGTCACTTCTCTGATCCCTAAGGACGAACAAGCCAAGAGACTTCCAAACCCAGTTGGCAAGCAAGTGCTTTCATGGGGAAAGGGAGACCCAGTGGAGTTTCTCAACCTTCACTGGCTGCAAGCCCCAAAGTCTGGCCCCTGCGTTCCACCAGGTCCATTCTTCTCATCCACCCTGAAGCCCGTCTTCCTGACTGCACAGGGCCCACCTCCTGGGGGAACAGGTCTTGCCTTCTAAAGTGGAGTTCTTTCCCATCAGGGCTGGACTGTCCTGGTGACCTTGAGCCAGGAGGACTCCTCCCTGGGCCTGAGCTTCCTCCTCTGCCAAGGACGGTTAAGGCTGACGATCCCAACGGCCTCAAGTTTCATAGTCAGCCTTCTCTGACTCAGTCTTTCCCTCCCCTGTCCTCTTGCCCAGCAGCCCTGAACACATGGTGAGCGGATAGAGGGAGTGGGTGGCCCAGACAGGACCACTATCAGAATACAATAGCAGATCAAATCCCCAGCTTGTCAATCTTGGACTCGGGTGAACGTTTTGCATCTTGTCCACTGTGTTTGTAAACCAGATCCTAATTTTAAGGGAGGAAAGTGAAGGAATAAAGAGGATCCATCAGAGGAGGCAGGGAAGAGATTGTTTCATCCACTCAACGACAGTCTGTGGACATCAAGCTGTGTCAGACACTGGGCGAGGTGCAGGAATCCAAAGGTGGGTAAGGCTTAATTTCCCCTTCGGCAAGCTTGGGGTCTAGAGGAGCCTGATGTGCATGTCGGTAGTTAACAAGCAGTGAGGTCAGTGTCACTTTGGAGATGTGCACAAAGTGCTATGGGTTCATGAGGGTGGGGCAGGAGTGACCACCAAAAAGATGCTTTCTGGATCCATGTAATAAGCCAGCCCGCTTCCCTGAACTGGGAGTGTAAAATGCCAGCTGGTGGCGGGGGGCGTGGCCTGAACTTCAAATGAGACTCAGCCTTCAGATTATCCAAGCCTGGCCAGCCGGGTAGCCAGGCATAGAGGCCTCCCCCTTGCGCTTAGCCTACCTAACCAGGAGTGAGCTAGAACAGAGGCGAGCTCCTATGGCCATGCCACAAGTCTTTTGTCATCTGTTTATCACCTGGGAATATTTTGGTTACAAGTAATAAAGCGTTTATTATACCTTTAAAAATAGAGTTTGCTGGATCATATAACCAAATGTTCTAGAGTAAAGATATCAGGTGAAGTTTGATCCAGCAAATCAGAACTATGACCTAGGACTCTTTTACTCTCCGTCTCTCCTCTCTGCCTTTCATGAGGTCTGCTTCATCCTGAGGTCCTCTCTTCATGTCACAGCCAGACATCAGTTAATTGTATCCTTTGTTCATTTCTAGCCGAGGAGAAGGAGGGTCAGTATTTCCCAGCATTCTCCTCAAAGGTCCAGATATTCTCTCTTTTTGAACCAGCTTTAGGTCATAGGTCACCCCTAAACCAAGCACTGTGGCCAGAAAGATAGAATGTGCTGATCAGCTTGGCCAAGGTCCCATATACCTCCTCTGGCACCGGGGCGAAGCCAGCTTCCCTACAACCACCTGGATGTTCTATAGGGATCAGGATCTGACAGGAAGGTGGGAATAGGTGCTGGGGAGGCTGCTTCTACTCTATGCAGCCACTGTGATGCTTACATGACCTTGGGCAAGTCACTGCTTTCCCAGGACTTCAGTTTCTTTAATGCCAAATGAAGGATTGGATGAGACGGTCCCCAAGATCATCATGTCATGTCCCCAAAACTCTTCCTCAGTGTCTAAAGAGAGCTTTCCAATCCAGCAGAGGCTGCCCTGGAGACTCTTGTCATCCCTGCCCTCTGGCTCGTCTTTGCTTCAACGGCTCTGCTGAGTTCTTCCTCTAAGCAGCAATGATGTTATCTGCTTCCTCCACGTGATACGTTTAACCACAGTCCTTTGGGGCCCACACTCTGGTTCAGCTCCCTCGAGGGCCACAGGCTGAAGGAGTGAGGTTAAGGATCCAGGCCCCCAAGTCCCTGGAGAAAGAGAGAGTGGTTTGTTTATCTCAACTCCTAAAATGCCACATGAAAAATAGGTTTAAAAGCTCCAGGCAGGTTATGGGTGCCATAAACAGCTTATGTGAGGTTTTTAGGATGAAAAAATCACCTGAGATAGAGGAGCGGGAAGGCAGGATTCTAGGGCCCACCTTCCTGCCCCAGGACAGACGAGCAGCACCTCAGGCACCTTCGTGGAGCTCAAGCACTGCCTGAGACTCCGGCGGCAGCAGCCGTTAGCAACAGCAGCAAGTTTCTTGAGAATTTTTAAAGCTCATTCAGTCGTTCAACACAGATGTATTGGACCCTATTATGTGCCAGGCGTCATGCTGGGCAGGCGAGATATAGAAATGAAGAAGATTCCCTAAGGAATTTTTCTTTTTAAGTACGGTTCTTACTCTTGCATTAACTGAGAGCCAGAGCTCAAAAAAGTTCCAGCTGATTTGTGGGATTCCCTTCCCTTCCCCATCCCCAAATCTTGTTTCATCACTGCTTTCCAATGAGAGGAGAGTAAATCAGTGAATCAGTAGTTTTGAGCTCCTGGTTTGCCCAGCACTAGGCTCGGGGCCGAGAGGGAAATCGGGAGGAGAAGGGGGGCACGGTCTTCACCCTCAAGGAGCTGTCAGATTGCCAGCTCTGCCGCTTTTTAACTGAGATTTTCAGCATCAATTGTTCCCTTCTTTATGCCTCAGTTTTTTCATCTGTAAAATGGGGGGATAATAATAGGGCTTTTCTCATAGATTTCTTGTAAGGATTAAATTAGATAACCCATGTAAAGATTTTTTTCTATAGAGACTGGCACACAGTAAGTGCTCAATAAAGGTAAGGCATTATTGATTTCATTTATAACAGTAAGGCAGAGTCGAAAGATATAAGAGGGAAAAAAGCATAGTCAGGGAAGGCAGCCTAGAAGAAGTGGTACAAAACCTAGTCCTTGATTTTGATGGAGGGCTGCCAAGTACCCCAAGGGCGGGGACCTGGTCTCATTCTTCTCGGCTCTCTCTGGCACTTTCCATAGTGCAGGGCACTGAGTCAACTCTGGTTGAGCAATGAACACCAATGACAGGCGTGCAGCTGGAAATGAGCCTAGTGTGTTCCTCCAGCGGCAAGACAGCTGGCGAGTGGAGCTTGGTACCCACAAGTTCGCAGACCCCATCACAGCAACTTTTTAGTTGTATGATTTTAAGCAAGTTGTTTAACCAGACCTTAGTATTTCCATGTGTAAAAAGTGAAAGAGAGTAATACCTATTTCGTAAGTTTACTAGGGGGCAGGGACAGGGAAGCGGCGTCATATATTTCCTATAAGATGTTGGCACTGGCCAATGGCAGAGTTGAAGGAATGTTAGCAGGCTGGTCTGCAAGGAAATGCTCTCCCCTTCTCTCAAATAGTTCTGGCAGAAGGTACCAGAGACCTAGGGCTTGACATGCCTTCTTCTGAATTTAAATAAACTTCAGCCTAAGAATAAATTTAGTCAAATATGTGGTTATTATTTTTTAAAATATTAAGCATGTGCCTGTTTCTTTTTAGTTTATTAGAGGCTTTTTTTACCCAGACTCTACAAATTGACCCTGACTTTGCTCTTAAAAAATTAAAAACCTCCCCCTAGGTTTCACTTCTGCATCATCAGAAGTGAAATCATCAACATGGGTCACCTGTTCCTGAGTGTCAGTAGGAGAGTTATGCATGGAACATCCATCTTCCCATCCCCAGGAATTCCCAATTCTCTCCAATAAGTGCATGCAAACACCAGGGTTCCAGGGCGCTTGGAGGTCAGAAGAGCCAGGATGCCCAAAGCCCCTCCCTCGGGGCCCCCAGAAGCACATGAAGCCATGAACACGCATCACCTGTACCACACACACCCCCAACCCAACCCAAGAGAAGGAAACAGCCTCTGTTCAGACCACAGGCTTAGGCAGAGGACATGCCCCGCCAGACTCCCAGCTGTGCTTCTGAAACCTGCAGCTTTTCCAGAGAACCATCCAGCCACTGTATCAGCAGAGGGAGCTCTAGGTAGCAAATAACTATCCTCTGACAGCAGACAGTACTTTCCTGTAGAAAAGATTTGTAGGAAGCAAGGAAAAGCAGGGGTCCTAAGTGGAGCTGGCGTCCATCCTGTGCAGAAGAAAACGCCACCAATTTGCAAGGGTAGCTTG